GCTACGCGCCAAACACCTGGACTGAACTCTGCCGTGGGTTTTGCCCCTCATCCCTGCCCGCTGCATTCCTCGCCTTAATTTATTTGGTCAGTCTTCGACTGTGGGTTTACCCCGCTCCGCTGACCTCCATTGTGTTCCACGTCTTAATTTATGTGCTACCCGCCAAACACCTGGACTGAACTCTGCCGTGGGTTTTTCCCCTCACCCTGTCCACCTGGACTGAGACTGAACTCTCTACAGTATAGGGCACTTATCCTCCTCACATCATGCCTGTGATAGGGCACTTATCCTCCTCACATCATGCCTGGGATAGGGCACTTATCCTCCTCACATCATGCCTGGGATAATCTTGAGGCACACTGGGGTGCAGAGCTCTTTTTTTACATCATTCATCATCTGGTCGTGTTGTGTTTTTATTGACATTTCTCATTCTCTTTGATAAGAAACTTAATAAAGGATTTTAAAAACTTGTATTCTAAGCAGATTTAAATCAGTTTCAACTCATCTCATTGTGGTACTTGTATATGCTATGAAATATCATTGCCATCATCCATTGTCATTATCCATTGCCATTAGTATGTTGTATTCAAGAAACAAACAATGATTAAAATAACAAACAAAAATATTAATTTTTAAAAATTTTCCAAGTGTATTTTTTCTTATCATAATACAGCATCGTAATTCCATGTAATCATTAAAGCATGTTCATAATTAGGGCAGCACATGCATCTCACACATTTCACTTTAAATAAACTTGAATTTGCAAAACACCCCTGAACCCTCAACATAGGTAATTATTGAATTTAAGGTCCATCTAATCCAACCACATAAACAGGAATGTCAACAATGCTCTTCTTACAATGGATTACCATTGTCATAACTCAAAAGTACACTGCCTCTTTTTCTCACATTTGTTTTGGCTACAAATGTACACACTGCGTACCATACATAAAATGCTGCTGGAATGAAATTTAGTGAATTTTAATATTACTAATTAAAATTAACGAGTTATGAAACTAGCTTTAATTATACATTAAGGATTGAACTTACGTTTTTTTGTTTTTTTTAAATATTTTGTTTGTCATTCAGACATATGATTAATTTTTTTAATAAGATTTTTCAATGCATTTCAAAAATGGCTGTCAGATTATTTGTCAAAATTCATGAAAAAAATAAACTATTTACCTAAAAATAAACTCCATTAGCTACAGTTATTTTCTGATCCAGTGGAAACAAGTCTATGAAACAATTGATCTAAAGTAGAATCTAAGATATAAAATAAAAATGTATTCTATCAAAATGGTTTCTATCAAAATGTCTTCATTTTCTTAATTTCTCAAAGAATAAACATGAAAAGTCACAGAGCTTAAAAATAATAATTCTAAAATTCTATAAAAATTCACTGCATTTAATTTTAAGCATTTGTCTTATGAAATTATTCATAAAGTATTAAATAGCTGCAGCCTTTTGACATTGTGTAATTCAACTACATGTTCACAGCACATAACACACATCAGACACCCCATTTGTGCCCAGTCTTTTATATCATTTTCAATTAATTTGGAAATGCTGGCAAAAACAGTGATTGGCTTATTGTGCGTAGACCTTCCCCATAATAAGTTTGACATTACATTGCAACTAAACAGCTCGTGTAGAAACATTTGAATCAACAATTTCCACATTTTTACCACAGTGAAACATAACTGGCTCCTATTTTTAAAAAGAAATTGATAAAAATGATAAAATCCTGCCGTCAACATTTTCTTCAAATGGTCAATGGCAATTAAATCTATTTACAAAATGAATTCAAATTAACACAGTGCACTGACCAAATGATATAACGGTAGTATTTGTACATAATCATTCCTATACACAAAGTGGCATGAACTTGTCCCATAAACACACCAGTTACAGCAATAAGAACTAGAATAGTTAGAGGTAAGATTTATACAGCAGCAGAAATAAAACCGTAGGCTCTACCAGAATTATGATCTAATTAAGTAAAGCAAAGGCAATTTGATATATCGGCCAGATATGTACCAATTAACAGTACAATTGACAATTTTTGTCAGTAACAGCTTTTGAAAAACTGAATTTTTCACGTTTAGTTTTTTTAAATATTATTACACACTAAAGGTATATCTTATCTTCACTCACAGTGAACATTAGTTTTGAAAGTTTGTTGTTATTTAAAAGAGCCAAAGCGCTTTCACTTTTACCCGCCATTTATTTTCTAAGTTGTTAAGATTAAGCAATCATCATAAATACCATGAGTATGGTATGCTGCTTTACATAATCATCATAAATTCTATGAATATGGTGTATCTGTCTGTTGACATTGTATGATTTATATTCTAGAATTCTGTTAGTGTTTTAATTAGATATTAAGTTAACGTTCCCTAAATTAAATTTCTCTTTTGTATCAGGTGATCTCTGATAGGCCACCACCAGAATTAGTGTTTTTAAAAACCAAGACAAAGAAAGAGAAAAAAATCTATGATTTTCTTATACAATTGGGGACTTTAAAAAACACATGAAATATCA